GAAACAAATGTGGATCACTCTCTCAATCATAGAATTAGAGTTTGAGGATCTTGCTTCCGTTGGTAAAGAAGATGAATGGTTTGGGGACCTTCTATTGAAAGTTCCATTGGCTAAAGACAATGTTTAAAGGTGTTGATACATTGCCGCAGTCAAACCACTTTACCTAGAGTATATAAATAGGGGTATAACAGAAAGTCTAGGAAAATAGGACTAAGACATTCTTTTGTGAGAAAATTGATTAAGGATGTAATCATTTCATTCAAATATATAAGGTAGAGCTATAATTTGCTTGATCCATTTACTAAACCACTGGCCATAGATTTAGTAAAGACTACCTTGAGAGGTATGAGAATGAAACTCCTTGAATAAGGATTCTGACAATGGCAGCAACCAAATTTGAAGTTAACAAATATTAACTTAATATTCAATTGGTAACAACAAGTTGTTGATTTGGATGTTTGTGCAACATTCTATGATAATGTTTACTATTACTTATTGAGGATTGAGTTTTTCCAAACTGTTTATGAAGTTCTATATCGAGTATATGTATCTCAACAAAGAGATACCAAATGAACTTCACCTATATGAATTTCAAGATGGTGTTGTCTCAAAGTGAGATTTGGAGTTTCTCTCATGAAAAACTCACGAAAATAGGAGAAGCACATGGTCATAAATAGTACTAGGCGGGAGATGTAAGCGAAGAAACATTAAAGAATGTAGGTAACGTCGGTATAATCACAAGGGATAACGGTTCAAAATATAGCTACCTAACAATCCGATTATACTTTGCGTTGTCCTCACTAAGGTTAAGTTTAGATCGAAAGATACTTAATTGTATTGACATTCTTTGTTTCTCCTTTCCTGGAATTGATCTTGTCATTATTAGAACAAGTGGGAGATTGTTGTAAATTATTAACAATTGATTATCTTGAGTCTGTTTCAAAATGACAAGAAATTATGCAAGTGAAGGTTAATTTTTTAATTCAGAAATAGGAAACACTTGTGAAGTGTTGCAGTAGGTAGTTTGCATTTTAAATTCATAAATAGACAACACTTTGTAAAGTGTTGCAGAATGTAAAATAATACAACCTTTGAAAACTGTTGTTGTAGGCGAATCAGTGCAACATTTGGTAAAAGTGTTGTTGTGGGCGAAACAGTGCAACATTTTGTAAAAGTGTTGTTGTATGTGAAACAATGCAACATTTAGTAAACGTGCTGTTGTAGGCAAAATAGTGCAACATTTGCTAAAAGTGTTGCTGAAAGTGTGTTTCATTAATTCATTAAGGGTCGCAACCTTGTGAAACAACACTACTTTGTCCTATAAATTGAGCATTCTGGATTCAGAAAAATACAACACAAAAACATATTTTCTACACACAAATTTCCAAATTTCATCTTCCCTACATTCGAGTTTTCATAGATTTTATGCAAAATCGAGTATATGCTAAATTATCATGGATATTCCAACGTTCGAACTCTAAAACATTTGAAGGTGTTTGAAATATTTATAAAAAAAAAGTTATTTCATTCACAATTCTAGTCTTAATCCATTCAATTTAAATTAATTTTCAAACATTTTTACAACTCAATTTATTTTCTCATCATATTACCTATATCCTTAAATATAATAATCTTTTAAAAACGTTATCATTGTTTATAAGTTTTTTTTTAAAAATTTTAAACTTCAATAAACATTTTGTCACTTTTTACATCCTCTTTAAATTTTAAACTTGATTAAACATTTTTTACCAATATATTTATATTTATTCTGCATATTTTTTACAATCAAATATACAAAAACTTAGGCTTTATTTGGTATGACATATTTTTGTGCTTATAATTTGTTTTGATTATTATTTTGGATCAACGAAAACAAAAGAATTAGTAATAATATTACTGCTTTAACCTGAAATATTAGACAATAGAATTATTTTAATTATTTCAATTTTATATTTAAATTTTATATTTTGAATTGTATTTTAATTTTTATTTCAATTTTATATTTTATTAAAAAAATTAATGTTTCATATCAAGGAGTACACGTACAATAATAAACTTATGAGACATGAAAATCGACTATGTTCTTACAATGTGAAATTGCGAACATATACTAATACAAAAAAAAATTCTTAATTTATGATTAAATTTACATCAAATTAATATTTAAGGTACATAAAATTAAACACAATAATAAAAAATATTTAACATAAACATATAAATATATAAATGTTGCAGTAACATATAATACAAATTAAGATAATCTCAACTACAAATTAATTTAAATGGTAGTATATAAAAGATATTTACATTAAAAGATTTAAAGGTAAAATATGTTTTTCGTCCTTATAATTAATATATCATTCAATTTTAGTCCCTAGCTATAAATTTTTCTTGAAAGAATGATTCACCTAAAGTTTTTTCTCACCAATTTTAATTTATGCCGTCTATTTGGTTTAACGAAAGGTGGCGTGACACTCCATGTCATTTAAAGTCAATTTTTTTCTTGACTACAAAATAACACAATAGATTGCGGGGGTTACAAACCTCCTTAAATTTATTTATTCAAATTTTATCTTCCACCCCCATAATCTGACAGGTATGTTCAGTTATAAATGCTTTTGAGTGTTTTAGAACTATGTTAGATCATGATGTGGTTCCTTGGGTTCTTATTATAAATATTTTTTTTGACTACAATACTTATGAAGAACTTGATTCGTAGTGCACGCTAATTGTTTGATGAAATGGTTGTGAGAGGAATTATGGTGATTGTTATACTTTGCATGTGCTTATACGTGTGTGTTTGAAAGAAGGGAAGTTTGAGGAGGCTGGGAAGTTTATGCTAATTCTGAACACAAATATGATGTTTTAGAAACATAGGATTTTTGTGTAATGTTGCAAAAATGTGTTTACCTGTTGTCACATAAACATTGTTTTGTGCAGTTGCAAACATCAAAACAATGATTTTGTTAGGATTTCTAGAAGAAAGCCATAAAGCACCAGCGTGGCGTCATTAAATCTATAAAAAATGGTTCCACTTGAGAAGAATGCATTCATAAGCGAGCCATAGAGGAACACCAACTATATAAGCATAAGGTTTTTCGGTTGAGCAGAACAAGAACCCTCACATTCTGACAAAATGGAAGAAAACGCCTCACCGGAATCCGAAATCATCGCTTCCATCATTGATTCAAAAAAGAACTACGAGACCATTTAGAAGTGAGCTATAGAGGAGGAACAAAAAATTGTTTTCAAGAAACAATAGGTCGGCGTGGAAGAAGAAAATAAACCTCTATGTCCTTTGAAATTGGGTAACAAAACTTTCGACTCTTCTTTGGAGTTGTTCGATTACTTCAACAATTCCCTTCATGCTTGTAGTTTTAATCTTAACGTTAACAAGGTTATTATTTCATCTATCTAATTGACTGTCACCTCCAATTTATTTATTTTTGTGTGTGTGATGTTTCCATTGTATACATTTGTTTGTTACTTAAGATTGATTTTGGGTTGTTTTGTGTGGCCGTATGAAGGCACAATATTATTGGACTTAATATGGTTTGGTGACATAATCTAATGGGAAAAAATTGGGATTTAGGCTGTAACATCGTTATCTAGGTAGAAAATGGGGTTAGAAGAAGAAGAATAAGAAGAACAAGATGAACATGAAGAAAATCACTAAATTTAAGGAGATTTGTCACCACTGCAATCTAACGTGTTTTTTTTGTAGTCAAGTCAATTGTTGACTTTAAGTGACGTGGCATGACACATCATCTCCAGTTAGAGTAAATAGACGGCAAAAACCAAAATTAAGGACACAAAACTTTAGGATGACCATTCTCTTAAAAAAATTATAAGAACTAAAATTGAATAATGAGATATTTCTGAAAATACCGTACATATTTAACCCTAAATTTAAATTACTAAAATTTTAAGTATCTTAAAAATATGCATTTTATTATTAATTTAGAAAAGTTCATGTCATTTTACATTTATGAGTTGGTTGAACGATTAAATTTATCAAACATTTTAATACATTTATCAACTATCATTCATCAATCATTAGTTATAAACTATTAGTCATAACTATCACTTATAAACTATCAATTATCAACAACTTATCAATTTATCGTTATTTTTACCAAAAAAAATTTAAACTACCCTCTCTTTTAAAAAATAACTCGTAAAAATAATGTTATTTATATAAATTTAATATCATTAGCAACATTCTTAATATCCATTACATATATAATATTAATTATCATATATTGTCAGTGTAAAAAATTTTATCCTATCGATTCATCATCATCATCCGTTAACATTATTTTATAGGAGGTTAAAATAAAAATCAAACTCCTTTCAATATCTAACGTCTATGATTATCTGACAATGTAAAAAAAAAGGTGTACTATCAATGTGTTTCAATTAAATTATATATATATATATATATATATATATATATATATATATATATATATATATATATATATATATATATATATATATATATATATATATATATATATATATATATATATATATATATATATATATATATATATATATATATATATATATATATATATATAAAAGTAAAAGAGAGGAGAAAATATTTGATAAAATCTCCCACTTTTTCCCATTCCTATTTCATTTTCATTGAGCTTATAATACGCTCCTTTAATGTAAAACAGTCTTTATCTTTATTCTTTACACGTCAATGATGAGAATATCCGTCATTCTTCCACCAGATTCTCAGAAATACTATAAAATTAAGTCATATAAAAGACAAAACAAAGTCAATTGATACAAATATAATTACCAAAAACAACTTGAACAAAATCTTTAACTAAAAATGCTAATAATTTACATAGAACTCAACAATCATATGTTAATTACACCAACTAGCTAGATGTTGTTGATCCTTTTCCTATCATAAAAGTTATGAGAAAATACAAATGAAATATCACTAAAAAATTAAGACACTTTTTATAGTACTAATTAATAGACTATAAATAGGAAATAATGAAAGTGATAGCCACAAAAAATATAGAGATGGAAGTTGAAAATGGTTGGCTTATTCTTGTGGCGTCCCCTATAGCCAAATTGGTTATCCACGATTTAGTAGCTACTGCTGCTTGTTCTACCGATGATCTTGGCCCTGACTCCATCAAAGATTTCAAACTGCAAAACCAAAATATCAACTATTATCTTCAATTATATGTCTTAATCATAAAAAAGTTTTATCAATACAAATCTATCGGAAATAAGAGAGGATAATAGAAAAAAGTAGTTGATGACATAGTGAAAAAGTTGCACAGTCACAGATGAAAAGAGAGAAAAGTTGCAGACAAAGAAAAACGTGAAAAATAAATCAAAATTATATCCTCTTCTTTGAAAAGTTTAGTTTTACCTTGGAGAAGAAGAAGGACAAAATGTGATAGTATAATCATCTGCAGCAGTACAAGTAAAAGTGCTTGTAGCATCATCAAACGCATAGCTATAAGATTTGGGACAAGCAGCTTTAAACATTTCCGAGTAAACCGACGGCGAACAACTCGACGGTGAACCAAACGCGCCGCTACAACAATACTCCGGTTTCCCAAACGCGCCACACGCGCTATTACACGCGTCACCACCATCCACTCTCAACTCCGACGGACACCTCCGATTAAGATCCTCTCCGCAGCCAGTGGCTTCACACGAACCCGAACCGCCGCTGGTTTCGACTATCATCGGGAGATTGTAACCGTCGACGAGACTAACGTCGTAGTAATCGGCGGAGCCTGTTCCTAAAGTGAATTCCGCTAGTGTTGCTGGTGGTGTTGCGCCGTTTCCGTTGCAGTTAATTTCGCCGGAACCACAGTCGCCGGTTGAGCAAGCTCCGTGACCGGAATCGTCGAACTTGCAACCGGTTCTCGCCCAGAGTCTACCGGACCAACCGGTTGGTGCTTGGAAGGTTTGGGTGTTTCCTCTTTTGAGTTCGAAACCGGTTGTTCCGAGATCCGGTTTTCCTAAAATTCCTGGCCATACCGTGTGGTCGCATTTGTTGATGAACGTAAATGTAGTTGCTGAAATTTTAAACCCTGCATAATGGGCAAAATTGTAAAAACATGTTTTCAAAGTTTTGTTAAAGTAAATATATAAAAGGAAACAGATTTTATGTACACACCTTTGAAAGATAGGATAAGTAGGAAGATGAAGAAAAGGTTTGAAAAATGTTGGTGAAGTGAGATCAGAGGCATAGTTGTGAAGTTAGAGAGGAATTTGGTTTGTAGAGGGTTAAGGAGAAATTGGTGGTGGGGGGAATTTGAATGCTAGCTCTTGCATTGGTATATATAGAGGTTTAGAGGGAATGTGGAGTGAATTATCTTTCATGATCATGTCATCTACCATTTTGTTAGTGCTTTATTTGTTTATTTATTATATTCATGAAGAATTCTATTAAACCATTTGAATTTTGTCATATCCTAAAGATAAAATCTACATAATTTAAAATTTTGCAGGATAAAAGTATTACATGACTTTGATATAGATGTGTTATTTTATATATTTTTAAGTGCAGAGATATTTGTGAATAAATAGACCTTTGTGAATTTTATGGTTAGTTGGTAAGATAAGAAATCAATACTTAAAAGCTAATAGATATTCTTATATTCTTATGTACGAATGGGTACGAAAAAAATTTGTATACACATATTTGATTGTATTTTTTCACTTGCGAAATTGAGAATTAAAATTTATCGTGGAATAGTCAACTTTTAAATATATCTTTTAAAAAATTATAATTTTCACAATATTTTAATCGATCTATATTTATATTAAAATTAATCTTTTAATTTATAAAAAATATATATTTTTAATATTTTAAAAGTATTTTTATAAAAATCATTTTTAAAAATATTAAAAAAAATTAAAGATAAAACAAATAAGCTCATAATCAATTCATTCTATAATTTTAAGACTTTCTACTTCTACTTAATAATCTTAAAAAAAAATTCATCGATAATATCATAGTCGAATCACGTAAGTTAATTTGATTCAATGAATAGCTGTCTTCTATAAAAATTAGAGTAGGCTTAAAATCACAAATAATGTCATTTTGGAAAAAAAAAATTATTAAGAAATGTGAGTGAGTTTAACTCAACCCTTTGGACCTATTTGTTTTAGCTTTGAAAAAATAATTTTTTTTGTATTTTTAAAAATAGATTTTGCAATATTATTTTTTAAAATATTATAAATTTTTTCTAAATTGCAAAACTAATTTTAACATCATAAACATATATTATTGAAAATCAAAACATTGTCGAAATCATAATTTTTAAAAAAAATTATATTTTAAAAATAACTTTTATAAAAAAAAAACTATTTGAAATAGCTTCAAAATTAATTGAGTTTTTGAAATTTTGATATCCAATTTTTTTTTCCTTCTAAAATAATATTTTAATAATAATTTTTCAAAACAAATTCTCATTTAATCTTTTATGAAAAATTTCTTTTTAAATTTTTTTTCTATAAAATTTTGTTACACTATAAAAATTATTTAAAAAAAACAAACGGCCCAAAATCAGTTAGTAAGATGAAAATTGTTATTTTAATTTAACCTTACAAAATTGATTCGTAAGATGAAGATTGTCCCCACTCTTGATATCAAATCGTTAGAAAATATGGTTGAACCTAATTCAATTCTAAAAAATCAATTAATAAAGTGAAAATTATCTTCACTTATAAAAATATATTCAAATTATATATTATCTTAACACCTAACACTTTATTAAAGTAATTGAAAATATGTAGCTCAATTAGAGCTTTCTCTACATAGTACCTATCTCTATCTTTTACTATTTCAATTTTCTGCCTTTAGAAAGTATGCTGTATTTTATCTCGTTCAGGAAATTTTCTGATTCTAACTTCTCTTTTTAAAATTGGTTTTGAATATTAAGTGCAATGTTTGATATGTGTCTGAATCTTCTGATCTTGAAGGAGTGCATCAAACTCACATTTGAATTTAACAAAGTATAATTAAATTTATTTTAATTTTGTAAGTAACTGAATCGACAAATTCTGGCCAAAAGGATTGTCAAACTCAAAAACAAGATACATACCAATGAAGAATAACCAACAAATATAAAGGATTCAAATCTTTTACCACTAGGTTGGATCAATTATTGTTGATAGTATTATACTTTTTTTATTTTATACCAAACATTTTACCTTTTTAATGATATGAAAATTAACATAAATAGTTTGTCTATAATCTCACTCAACTGATCTTTGTCACCAGAGAATAACGCCTAATCTGAAAATCACTTTAACTGAAAACATCACACGTGGATGAGACAAGTAAACAAAAAAGAAAGTAATGACAACAGTTTCACATGGTTGACGTTTGAATCACAATAAATCTTTTCTTTATTTCAATAGAAAATATATCCTAATCCTTTTTTCTTTAAATTTGTTTTTCAAATACTTTGAAATAATTAATATACATGTATAATACTTTTAAGGTTAGTCTAAAAAAGAAGGTTTGAATATTGAGAGTGTCCTCCTCTCAAAATTTTAAGTTTAAATTCATACAAGATTTTGTTTTAGATTTAAAGTAAACTTTTGCTAATACATAAATTTGTTTTTTTGAATTAGTCGGTTTGCACCCAAATATCAAAATTTAAAAAATAAATAAAAATTGATGCACGTGTATAATATATAAATCATAAATATTATTTAAAGAGTAATTTTTTTATAAATAGAACAAAAGATATTATCATTTTTTTCTTGAACAGTTCACAAAAGTTAAGTTTTAGAGCTCACAAGAGTTATGCCTATATGCTTATAAAAATGAAATACATATAGATATTAATTTCATTGTTTTCATTATAGGTTTGTGTGTAAATTAATTTTTTTAAACAAAAATAAATTATTGAGTAAAAAAATAAATAATAAAAGAATATATGACATAAAACTTAATTCATCAAACAATGAGTAAAAATTATAGTTGGACATTATGCTTAATCTATTCTTTAAAAAAAATTCAAAAACACAAATCTCATATAGTGTTATAATCAATAAAAAATTTGGCAAACCAATTTCTTTAAGTTATTTATTTATTTATTTATAATAAATTGATTATTTCTATATTTTTTTTTAACAATTTAGTCATTTAAGTTATCAAACGTGTATACAGTTTTTTTTTTTTTTTAAATTTCATTTTAAAAATAGATATGTGACATTAACATGAGAGAGGTGTCACTAACGATGATGACATGAAATTTTTTATTTTTTTTACGTTTAAGTAATTATCCAAAAATACCTTTTCTTCTCCGTTTAAGAAAAAGTTCAGATAAAATCCCTAGTTTTGTATCCCTTTTCTCCCTTCGGATCCTTCTTCTCCTTTCTCAATTAGTGGCTTCATAATGTACCAATGGATCAAATCCACAAAGTCAGAACTCTCAATCCTTCATTTTGAGTGCAACTCATGGTGAAATTACAGCAAGCTATCCTTGTGGAGCCAGAGCAGTTATACGAACAATTAGGAAGAAAGGACGAAACTTTGGGAAGCTCTTTTGGAGTTGCAGATACTTTGTGGTAAGTTTATTATTATATTCTTCTTTGTCTTTTACGATTTTGAAGAAATTAGTTGATGGGTTGTGGATGTTATATGTTAATAGAGTGAATGTGCTAATTATGGATGAAATTATTTTGAGTGGTATAAAAAAAGAATACAATGATGAAGTGCAACCAGAAATACAACAATCATAATTTTCTAAGTGTTCAAAATATAAGGAAAAGGATGTAAAAATTAACACGCTTAGAAGGGTCATTAAGAAGATCCATGGAGATGACAACTACACTAAGAAGATGATGAAAAACATGTCGAAGATGTTGAAGATGCTAGTCTTTATCATAATGTTTTTAATTTTAATTTTTATTGTGTTGATGTGTATTTTGGTCGAGAAGTGGTGATTATGGTTAATGTTGATGTTAGTGTTGTAAGACATGTTATTAGTGTTATGCTGTAATCACTTTGTTAATGTGTAATTTTTCCTTTCTTCAATATTGATGTTTAGATTATGTTCAATTTTATGTTGCAGTAAGCACTTTTGAATTCTGCAGTGGTTAAATTCTATCCAATTTTATGTTGCAGTAAGGACATATTTGTCACACTAAACAAAACATACAGGATTTGTTTGTTATACTAAAGGAAACACTAAAGACCTACGTGGTACAATTTGGCACACCATAAAATTACATGTGGACAACTCATTTAACTAAAACATGTTATCTGAGCATTTGGGCAAGAAGATTTGTTCTGGCCAGATTTACCACACACTGAGCATTTATTTGGAAACTCTTTCCTACTAACGATTATTGTATCCCTTCTCTTTTCATATGCATATTTGTTTCTTCTTTTTTTGCCTCCCTGTCATACCCCAAATTTGTCCTACTTGTGTATAACTCTCACATGTACATTCAAAAATTAAAAAAAATATGTTATACAAGTTGTAGCAAGGATGAATGGAGTTTCATTTATGGCTATCAGGCCAGGTGAGTGTTTAGTATGGATTAAGTTTCAATGGTTTTGATTTAATTTGTCAGTTAGGAAAGGGTTTGTTCCAAGATTGAGGCCATAGTACATGATTTATGTGGTGTATATCTGAGGTGATAACTAGAGTTTTATGCCAAGTTAAGACATTTGTGGATTAATCAAGTCATCAAAGACCAGAGTATTTTAAGATTAGGGTTTCATGTATTGAGATTCATACTTCAAGTCGTGACTCTATGATTGCAAGACATGTTTTTGTTCATTTGGTTCATTATAAAGGACTTGATTTATTGTATCCATGGATTCAAGGATGTCAGATTCAATGTTACTGCAAATTGGGTCGAAGACGTTGTTCAAGTGTTATGGAGGGTGTGAAGAACATTATAAGGTCGAAGTTCGTTTCGTTCTTATAAAAAGGTCATTAACCCTTTTCCATATTCATCAATTTCTAGGACATTTTCTCTATTAACCCACATCCAAATTTTCACTGTTAACCCATTTTCTTTCTATTCTTAATCCATTATATTATCAAGTTCTTGTTACACAAGATTTTCGATAAGCTCGTATAGTGAAATCCAAAATCCATATTTTTAAATCCACATAGGATTCACAAAAGATGCTCCGACAATTTGTTACTAGTACCATTACCAATTATATTTAGTGTCACAAAGTCACAAAAATACAATAAAGGTCCATCATAGTCCA